CTTTACTTTCGATGGTCTTGCAAATTCAAATATATCTTATAGAAACCATAAATAAAAATATGCGTTCTTTCGGAATATTAATAGGGAATCATGTCTTCTTTATATTTTTACTCAAGGAAGGAGTATAATTAGGTTTTAAAAACGTTTTCTGAGTCCCAAATAATTTGGAGCCTAATCAGTCGTTGCATAAGCGTTCAGCCTACAAGGTGCATGCGTTCTGCGTAAAGAAAATCAAATATTTTTCTATGCGTTTTAAAAGATACCATATGGAGTCCATAAAATTGTACAATGAATGCGGACGATCCTGTATATTTCATGAGGAGCTGTGGTAAACGGCCAGGCACGATGCTATGTGAATGGACATTGGGCGGTCTTAAAAAATCTCATAATTATAAACTTTTTTAAAACCTAATTATACTCCTTCCTTGAGTAAAAATATAAAGAAGACATGATTCCCTATTAATATTCCGAAAGAACGCATATTTTTATTTATGGTTTCTATAAGATATATTTGAATTTGCAAGACCATCGAAAGTAAAGGGGAAAATGCATGCTATTTAAACAGTCTTTTTTCACCGAGTACGATTTCTACAGGAGATTGAAAAGCAGTGTATACAAAAGCTGACATCCTGCCGGGTCCGAAATGTTATAAGATTATACCGCAAGATAATGAATGCTATGTACAAGCGCGACCAAGTAATCCTTCCTAATCGAAAACGCATTTTCAGAATTTCAGCCAACATTCCATGGGATCAGTCACTCACTGGACTGTTTATCTTCGACATTTGAGCGAAGCAATCACATGGTCAATAAGGACCTTATAGCATAAAATCTGCAAAGAAAATACCATAAAAAATTTACTACAGGCGGAGTCATGAAAATCGCTCCTGATTGGAGTCCATATAAAGGGAAAAACTCTGGAGTTCAGAAATCATACGCTTTTGTACTGAAGTTCCCAGTGCCGATGATTTCTCATCGGAGATGGCGATAGCATCTCGCCTACAGAGCGTTTAGAAGTGATGTTGATTATGGTAGCAATTTCCCCTTCTGATCCAGGCTGCACGGTCAGGAAGTGAGTGTGTTGGTCACACGGAAAACAGTTATTTGCGGCGGACTCATTCACTCCCTCCGAGGTACTTCCTCTGTCGAGGCAGGTTGAAAAGTGGGAAGATGTGGTGTGCGAGATAGCCGCTGATAGCGGTGATAACTAACAAAAAATTGGCAACTTTCGTTCTCATATACCCCAAATATCGATTTGGGTCTCGTCCAGGCACCTGTCTCAGCCACCGCCGTCTACTTAGTCGGGATTCGTTCGCAAGGCCTGGCGGATGGCTGGACAGCAGCCGACCGGAGCTGGACATGTGCGAAGAAGTTTATCCCAGAACTTCAACGTTCTGGAAAACGAAGGCTTACCCAGGTTTTACACAGTGTTTTGCCACGATAAAAGAAACAAACTCGACCTTTCTGCTATCCTAGCGTGTCCAGTCTTAGGTTCTTGTAACACTCAATCAGTCTCTCAAAAGCACCCAACAGGCATCAACTTCACCACACCTGGTAAACCATATACAGAATTTCGCTACACGCGATTATCGGGCCTCAATATGTATTGTTGAAAAGTAACCTCAGTATTCATTTGGTATCTTTTTCACTTCATGGTTACTAAGAGGGAATTTTCCTTTCATTTGGAGATTATTCGCTCATTATGCAAAATAAACGAGTCTTATCGCCAAGAAACCTGGTATCAAAAGGGGTTTTGAATGAGAACGGAATTTATCGGGCCTAGAGCAAAGCGTAGA